TATGACAAAAAGCAGACAGTGCCAGGAGGGCCAGATCCTCAGCATCATCGATAACTACGTTCTATTCTCTAATTGCTAGATTATATTCTGTGAATGCAGTGTTAAGAGCCAAAAAACAAAAAAAAAACAAAATATCATTCAGATTTCTATTTATTGGAACGAACATGTAGCTATCTATGACTTATTTCAACTAAGAAATTTTGAAGCTATGGTAAGGAATCTGCAAGTCTTTTTCCTGGTTACACCATGACCTCTTTGGTATCTTCAAATTTCAAGTTTGTTTTTTTTTTTTTCTTTTTTGACAAGCAGGGATTTTGTTAAGAAAACTGAAAAATATTGTCTTAAAAACCAACGGTTACAAAGATATAAGCATGCCAAGTGACAAGTTTCCCTTATCCGGATCAAAAACTGCAGAGATTGTTTTAAACCTTCCATCCTTTCATCTGTAGTAACCTGAAATAAGGATAAACTTTAATAAGGTTCACAACATTTCCTAAATGTGTGAGAGAGTGTGGATGATACGCTTATTTATGAGACAGTGGGTTTACAATGTTTGATCAATTCTAATTTTCTGAGCCTATTTACATCCACATCTTCTAGAGGTTCTTTTTCTTCCTCTGCTATCGACTTCAAAGTCAATGAAAGCAATTCTAAATTCATTATTTTGTTCAGAAGATGATGCAGTTCTAAATTATCCGTCTGTCTTGGTTGACTTATCGCTAAAGTATTTTGATAAAGACATTCACTGTAGTTGCATTGGATTATGATTTTATTTTATCTTTGGTAACCTGCATGTATATTTCTCTTGGGACTTTTAGTTTTTTTTTTTTAGAGTTTTCAAGTCTGTTTTTTCCCTTTTTTTTTATCTTTTTTTTTTGGTGTCTTGTAACCCGACCTGTTGTTTGGCATCCATGATATAAGACCCCTTAGGTAGATGGTTTGAATCCCCTCTAGCACAGTTAGGCTTAAGAATGTGGTGCTCGAATAGTTAGACACTTTAGGAGTGGTTGGAGGCTCGTATAATAGCTTTTGGTCATTCGTGTACTATATATATATATATATATATATATATATAT